GAATCAGAGTGGGAGACAAGCTATGAGAGACTATGGGCTCTGGGAAACAAACATGGTTTGGGGGTGTTGGGGGATGGTTTAGCCTGATGACGGATATTAAGGTGGGCCCATATTTCAATGAGCACTGGGTGTTATACTCAAACAATGAATTATGGAACACTGCATTAAAAACTAATGAGGAGCGCCTGGGTGGCTCAGTGGGTTAAAGCCTCTGCCTTCGGCTCAGGTCATGATCTCAGGGTCCTGGGATCGAGCCCCGAGTCGGGCTCTCTGCTCAGAGGGGAGCCTGCATCCCTTTCTCTCTCTCTGCCTGCCTCTCTGCCTACTTGTGATCTCTCTCTCTCTCTGTCAAATAAAATAAAATTTAAAAAAATTTTAAAAATAAAAAAAAAAACTAATGAAATACTGTATGGTAACTAATATAATTAAATAAATAAATAAAAATAATAAAATAAAAGATGAACTACAGTTATCTAATGACCTTCCATTTGCTTAGTATTTACCTCAAAGTTATTGGTAGAGGGGTGCCTGGGTGTGGCTCAGTGGGTTAAAGCCTCTGCCTTCGGCTCAGGTCATGATCCCAGGGTCCAGGGATGGAGCCCCGCATCGGGCTCTCTGCTTGGCAAGGAGCCTGCTTCCCCTTCTCTCTCTGCCTGCCTCTCTGCCTACTTGTGATCTCTGTCTGTGAAATAAATAAATAAATAATCTTAAAAAAAAAAAGTTATTGGTAGAAAGCTTCAGGGAACAGATAGAATTACTCAAGGTATTTTTTAAAAATTGCCTTATTAAATTAGTTAATTGCTTTGAGTGATTTCCTTTGTTTCCTGTTCAGTTAATTTCATTTAGAAATAAAAGGGCATAAGGTGTAGCTTAAATGTTTCTTTATTTTTTATTACTGATTGTCCTACAAGTCATGATTTTACTTCCAAAGGAAAAGGGCACAACATTTCAAAATGTAAATTTTGACATTAAGATTCATGCTTTTACTAAAACTTGATTTTTTTTCTGGCCACTACTAATTGGAATTTTTGTTTTTCGGTTGACAACTAACTCTATATATTTATGTAAATTATATTTATGTGAAGTAAACAAGAGTTAAGAAAGAATAACAGAAAGATTCTTAGTATTTACAGTTCTGCCTTTTGTGGTCTTAATATGAACATAAGGATAAACTATGCATTGGCTTAACTTTCAATATAGATTTCTCAGTGGTAGAATTTCCAGTAGATTTTTCAAAAATCAATCACTAAACTTTAACTCATAGAGGCTTTAATATGAGTGTCCCAGAGCTTTGCAAGCATGGGGGGCTTAGTGTCTGAATAGCTCCGAAGCGTAAGGACAAAGTGGACCCATTGTTCTTCCATCTGAGGAGCTGTAGTGTGATCTGAAGACACAGAACCAATATTGTGTTCAGTTGGACCTCTGGATGGAACATAATTACCACACCTCAGTTGATGTTGGTCCAGCATGGTGGTTTGTAATGCTCACACTCCTGTGAAAATCCCAGAGACTTTTAATTGCTATGAAGAACTCATATTCCATGACTCACTCCAAAGATTGCACCACTTGGATTACCTGAGAATGTATTTGCTCTATGTGCTCTCCTTATGTCTTTGTAGTGCTTTCTATATACCTTTGACTGTATCGAGTTTTTGTCCATAAAGCATGAAGAAAGACTTTTATACAGAGGGTGTTTTTGTGCCTAGGGGTGCAATGACTTGAGTCTTGAGGTTGGATGGGTACTGATAGAGAAGGGTCTTAAGATAATTTTTTATAGGGAACTGTTTAATTATTCAATCTGGCAGTGATTCAGTATATTCTTGGAAGAGCTGTTTGCATATGTCAGTCAGTAATAACTGTTCTGGGAGTATTTTGTATGTATTTTGAAGCTCTGCTGTTAGGTGCATCCCCATTTAGCATTGTCAAGTTCCTTGCTTAATTGATCCTTTTATCATTATGTAATGTCTCTCTTTATCCCTGGTAGTATTTCTTCTTCTGCAGTTTACCCTGTCTGATATTAATATAGCTACTCCAGGTTTCTTTTAATTCATGTTCACAGGTATAACTTCTCTCATCTGCTTACTTTTAACCTATTTGTATATTATATTTAAGTTAAGTTTTTTTATTAAAATTTTTTTTAATTGGATATAGTCAACACACAATGTTAACATTCGTTTCAGGTATACAACATAGTGATTTAACTTCTCTATGTATTACGTTAGGCTCACCACAAGTGCACTTACCGTCTGTCACCATACAATCCTGTTACAATATATCATTGACTATCTGGGTAGTTTTATGTCTATTTCATCTATTCTTTGTTTCTTTTTCCTCTTGTTTCTGCCTTCTTTTGTATTAATTGAATATTCAATTTTAAGGTTTATACCTTATATATTTTTTAGTGGCTTATACCTTAAAATATTTTTTAGTGGTTGTCCTAGAGTTTGCAGTATATATCTTTGACTTTTCTTGATCTGCCTTTGAATAATCTACCTTTTCTTGATCTATCTAAGCAATAATATTTTGCTTCACGTGTCATATAAGGACCTTATTAACAGTATATTTCTAACTCATTAATCCCATTCTTTGTGTGATTGTTCTCATAAATTTTACTTTATATATGCTGTGAACACATAATACTAGTTTTCTTTAGTAATTCTATTTTAGACCATTTAAAAATAAGAAAAAAATGAATTTTACCTTTACCTTTATAAATGCCATTTCCAGCACTTTTCAATTCTTTGTACAGATGCAGGGTTTTTGTTCTGGTATCATATTCCTTCTGCCTAAAGGATTTTCTTTTAACATTTCTTCTGGTGAAGATCTCCAGTAATTAATTTTATTCATTTTTGTTTCTCTAAAAAGTCAATTTCTCCTTAATTTTCAGAAGATACTTTCACTAGATATAGAATTCTGGTTTGGTCATTTTTTTCTTTCATTACTTTAGAGTTATTACTCCATCATCCTTGGCTTGCATGACAAGAAGCCTACTATATTTCTAATCTTTATTCTTTTGTATGCAATGTATTTCCACCTTCCACCTCCCTTCCTGCCACAGCCTTCAAAGTTTTCTGGTTTTGGTTTTTAACTATTTAAATATAGTATGTTTAATTTTTGGTATGTTTAATTTATGTTTAATTTTTATTTGGGTTTTTTTTTTTTTTGTATTTATTCTACCCGATGTTTTCTGAGCATCTTGATTTAACTTAGTATCTTTCATTAATTTAGGAGAATTATTGGTCATTATTTGATTCTCTTTTTTTCTTCTGGGATTCTAATAACATGGATGATAGCCTCTTTGATATTGCCTTTCAGCTCTTGGGTATTCTATTCTTTTTTATCCACTCTTTCTTTTTGATCTTTGTGTCTCAGTCTGAGTGATTTCTCCTGATCTATATTCAAATTTACTCTTTATTTCCTTAGCTGCGTTGAGTCTACTGATGAGCGTACTCTTAGAAAGCATTCTTCATCCTTGTTACCATGTTTTTCACTTCTAGCATTCCATTTGCCTCTTCTCAATTTACAAATCTCTAATGAAATTTTTCATCTGTTCATCTTGCCAACCTTTTCCACTAAAGTCTTTAATATTCATCATAGCTATAATAATATTAATCAAGCTATTATAAGTTCTCTCTCTGATATTTCCAATATCTGGGTCACATTAGAAGCTGGTTTCTTGATTACTTTATCTCTTGATAGTTTTTTTTCCTTGCTTCTTTGTCTCATAATTTTTGGTTGAAAGTTGGATATTTTAATTTAGAACTGTAGACACCAATAAATAGTATTTGTGTGAGGAAATGGGCATACCCTGTTTTTGCTAGGCCTTTAGTGTGGGGATTGGGTCAATGTACTAAGGAATTAAGCTGTGTTTGGGGTTTTGCTGTTGATATGGCCATCCTCGGGACATGACAGAGTTTAGAATTTTCTAATGTTCCTTTGCAGTTAGAGTAGGAGTTGGCTTACCAGAGGATTTTCCTCCATGCTTCTGTTGCACCCTCAATTGAGGCTTGAGCCTGCACATAAGAGAGGTTTTCACCTGTCACTCTTGCCCTTGTGCTAGCAGTAGGTTGTTGTTATTGATACTTGGAAATTACTAGCATGCTGCAGGGTAGGCGTTGTGTGATGGGAGGTAGAGAGCTTTTTCTTGTTCCAGTTCATCCTTAGTCTTAGACAAATGCTGTGCCCCTGAGTCTCAGAGATGGGGCCTTCTTGATGATCTTGCCCCTCTCCAGTGATAGAAGCTCTCTAATAGTCTGGCCCCTGTATATTTTTTTGCTCCTTCTAGGGGTGAAGGATTTCCTTCTTTTTCCATTCCTTAGAAGTACTATATCTCAACTGGTACTCTCAGAATGACAGGGCTTCTGCTTTGTCCCCAGTGGTTGAGGCTCTTGTTGGGAGAGCAGATGGGGAGAAGGATCCAGGTAAGGTTTGTGTGTTTCCCACAGTGCCACTCCTTCCAGCCTTAGACCTCCACCACAAGGGAGGCTTTCTCTGGTCTTGCACCTACCCTCAGTCCTTCTTGTGAGCATTTGGTGAGATCCATGAAGAAGAGCCTGCAAGTGGGTACAAATTCCCATTGGGTTTGTGGCTCCCAGGGCTTTTGTATTCTCATGCTAGCCCACACTGGGCTTCTAGCAGTTCATTATATTTTTAGATGACTTCTCACCAGCTTGTATGAGGCCTGGTGTCTACCCCAGGAAGCTGGGTTTGCATCCTGTCTTTCCTTAGAGGAGCCTGACTTTCCTAACATTTCAGGCCATTTGGTTGCCCTGTGAGCTTTGCTCTAGGATAGGTTCCAAAAGGTTAATATTTTGTAAATTATACAGCTTTCTTTTGTTTTAAGGCTTATTAAACACTCTTCCCAGCTTTCCACATCTTTGGGCATGTTTTTATTTACTGACTTGAAGGCCTGAGACTTGAGTTTGCTGCTTCATTTGGGTGCAGTTAAATTCTGATTCTCAAATGAACTAGCATTAAAAGCATGGCTAATGTCCTTGCAGAAACTTGGGGACTGTGGCAGCCGTGGAGCCAATGTAGTACCACGTGTGGGGATGGTGTCAGAGAGCGACGCCGCGTGTGCCTGACTTCCTTCCCCTCCAGACCTGGCTGCCCTGGAATGTCCTCGGAGACCTCCCTGTGTTCCCTGGAGGAGTGTGCTGGTAGGTACCTTCTTTCTTTGGGAATTTTTCCCCAGAGGGACTGTTGAACCTATGCCCGCCTGAAAATCAGCAACCTGAATTCACTGACATTCTCTTAGTACTACTGGCTTTACCAAGACTGTGTTCATTAGTGTGTCTCTGACTGGGAGTATCTCGTCAGTGAGATGACAGGGGATTGACCAATGTGGAAGATAAGGCAACGAGAGGCAAATTATCTAAATTAAAGATTCAGACATATGAAAACATTTTTAAAAATACAAGAACAGGGGGATGATCATTTCTTCCCAAGATATTTTTGGTTTTCTTTTTGTTTTCTTATTTATCCTTCCTTTACTTCTCCACACCAAAATTGCAGAAGAACATATCATCTCAGAGAAGCCTGAGGGGACTACGTAGTCCATTATTTGTCAAAATGGGGCAAGTCACCCCGTCTTACCTTCTGAAGGCCCTATGTTTACTACCCCTACCTAGGAGGAGAAGGTGGGGAGATTTCTTCTCGTCATCACCTAGAAAGTGGCCTTTCCTTCATCCTTTCAACATCTTGAAGGCACTCAGTAGGTGCTCCATGAGTATTTGATGTAAATGGTTTATAGATGTGATGCTGATATGGCTTAGTTTGGTTTGCTTCAGCTTATGGAGTTGAATTCCATTCTTCTGCTACAGGTCACAGTAATAAGAATCCTTGCTCTTCCCACATACCATCTCACCAACTGATCTATAGCCAGTCCCTGCACTTAATTTGCTGGCCTTTGCTCTGTTCCTGACCCTAAGATAAAGTCTTCTGTCACTTCTTCCACTCTCTAATTCGAGGTTAGAAAACCGTACCTAGTTCCTTGTCCGTTGGGGTCTGGAGGAGTCAGATGTTTTTTTGTGTTTGGATCTCAGAGCATCTTTTAGCCAAAACTACCTGGCAGCAACATCTTGGCCAGTGTCCCTGCCTGTGGCCTAAGAAATTCATTCTTTCTAGCTCATTTTTCCAGCCAGTGCTGTAGGCCTTGTTCCCTTCATTCCAGCATCCTGAGGGTGTTCCTCCTTCTGCTTTTCATCAGACTTAGGCTCTTCTGCTAGCCCTCAGTCTGCCCTGCTTCTTTCATAATCCCTTGGCCACACCCTGAATCTATTCTTTCTCTGGTTATAGCTCATATTATTTTCTAAGGCTCTCTTCTCCATCTACTCTTTGTTCATAAGTCTCCCTCACTTTCACAGCTCCTTTCTTGGGTATAACTACCTTCAAATACAACCATTCCTCTCAATTCTGGGATGTCGTGTTGTGTTAAGATATTCCATCTAGGGCACTTGGGTGGCTCAGTTGGTTAACCATCCGTCTGCCTTCAGCTCCGGTCCTGATCTCAGGATCCTGGGATTGAGTCCCACATCGGGCTCCCTGGTCAGCAGGGAGTTTGCTTCTCCCTCTGCATCCCCTGCCCCCATTTGAGCTTTCTCTCTCTCAAAAATAAATAAAATCTTTAAAAAAAGATATTCCATCTAGAGTTCCATAATGAATGAATGAATGAATGAATGAATGAATGCAACTGAATTTGGTCAATTGTCACTGACTTCTACTGTATTTTAGAAATGACAACAATATCAATCTTTTTTTTTTTTTTAAGATTTTATTAATTTGACAGAGATCACAAGTAGGCAGAGAGGCAGGCAGAGAGAGAGAGAGAGAGGAGGAAGCAGGCTCCCTGCCGAGCAGAAAGCCCGATGTGGGGCTCGATCCCAGGACCCTGGAATCATGACCCGAGCCGAAGGCGAGGCTTTAACCGACTGAGCCACCCAGGCGCCCCCAATATCAATCTTTTAATGACCAACTGCTATGTGCTAGCACTTTAAATACATTATCTCACTTATTTGGGATGCTGTAGCATAGAGAGGGTAACTGACCTGCCCAATATCAACAAGCTAGAAAGCAGAGGACTAGATCTGACCCATACTAAGCTACCTGTCTTGAATATCTTGCCTTTCTACACAGGCCAGTTTAATTTTCTGGAAGCATCCACACCCTAGAATTAATAATCATTTTTGAGGATATGTGAAATTATTTCATGTTCTGATGTCCTAATTCTTTAATACTCATTGGGAACTAGAAAGTTATATATTATAAATTAGCAAAAGGTTAAGTGCTATAGGCATGCCTACTTCTAATGTAAGTGGTCCTTAGAGTAATGTTTACATGGATAAAAATGATCATTTCTTCCAAGTGTTCTTCTCCCTATTTAATCTATTTCACACTGTTTGGAAATGTTAAAATCTGTTCTCAGTCTGCTTAGCATCAAGAAAGCTCCTTTACTTCAGGTGAAGGAGGGAGTCGATGAAGCAGAGAGGGCTAAGGTCAGCAGCTCTCGGGCTTTTCTCCAGCCATGTTTTGAGGAGCCAGCCCCAGTGAAGGCTAACAGCTAAGTAAAGAGGTCCATCATGCATTGCTGCTCCCCATGGACATAAGCCACCACTGCACACGGAAGAAGTGACAAGTCAGGAAACAAATCTTTCCCCATCCAACGGTGTTCACTTGGTTGCAAGTTGGAAGTTTTGTTTGTCTTTGAAAGAATGTCTGCATCAAGTTCTATGTTAGTTTGACCGTCTTATTCAAACAGGAGTGGGAGAATCCATCGCCATTACGCCCACGTTCCATCCGGTGGGATATCAATCATTTTGCTATTCCCTTTTTAAATGAATTAACCTAACATTTATTGGATACCAACTGTGTGTAAGTTATTGCGACTGGGGCTAGGAATATCTAGATAAGACATGTTCCTGTCTGGAAGGTGCTTATGACATAGTTGCTCAGCAGGCATGTAAAAAGGCATAATATACAGTACATTGTAGAGCCTGCAGTGAGAAAGGTATCCACAGCTTGCTCAGGAAACTTGCAGGGGTGAAAATTCATGCTGGGAACACCTCCTTTCTTGGAGGTGGTGATATTTGAGCTAAAGTGTGAAAGCAGAATAGGTGCCACCTAGGTGAGCTAAGTGAGAAAGGGAACTTCAGCAAAGGGAGCCATGGATAAAAGCACAGAAGAAGATGGCACATTAAGAGACCCCGAGAACTGAAATTAATGTGTCTAGAGCATAGTGTGCCAGGAGGGAGTGGTAAGAAATGAACCTGAGCAGGTGGCAGGAGTCAGATCCTGAGGGGCCTTGAAGGTTTGGCCTGTATTTCAGAGGGATGCCTCTCAGCTGTAGTGTGGAGAATACATCGGAAGGGCTAGGAGTAGCAGCAGCAAGGCCATTAAGTTTTTCAGCAACCCAGTGAAAAATGAATGGCCGTAGGGATGCAGAGGAGACAAGAACTCAAAGACTCTGGATATGGTGAGTGATGAAGAGGGAAGAATCAAAGTTGAAAACCAGGATTCTAGTACTGACAACTGCGTGGACACCTGTGCCATTTCCTTGAGATTGGATATATTGGATGAGGCACAGATTCTGGGGGAAAATTGATGAGTCTTGGGCATGTGGAGGTGAAGGTGTTGGTAGGACATCATTGGAGAGAGCAGAGCTAATGGACCCAGGTTGAGATCTAGATCTCCTTGCTTCAAATTCCTGTTCTTCTCTCCAAAGGAGTACTATCATTGAAACCAAGAAGAGAAAAAGTCAGAGGAAGTGTTGGGCAGTAGCCTATACTGCAGAGGTCAAGGAATATCCAGACAAAACTTCTTTGAATTTAGCTATTAGGTTATTAATGACATTAGCAGAAGCCATTTCACTGGAATCCTGGAGGCAGGTTGCAGGACTCAGAGGTGATGTGGAAGCAGTAAGTCAGCAAATTTTCTAGCTTGTTTCTAGCTTTCTAGCTTGTTGATATTGGGCAGGTCAGCTTTTTTTGTAAGCTTGGCTAGGAAGACCAGGAACAAGATATGAGAGTTCTAGAAATTTCTTCTTAAAGTAAGAAGAGCTTGAACATGTTTATGTGGAGCTGCATAGAGGAGAAGCTGGAGATAATTGGTACAGAGCGTTGATCCCCCGGAGAAGGGTGACCTAGAGAGCACTTGGTAGACTTGCCTTTGTAGGAAGATACTTCTCCACTAATTCCATAGGGAAAGAAGTGAATAGAAGTGTGGCTGATCCTAAGTTTATTGGGGAGAAGACAGCAGAAGGAGCTGGGGGAGGGGTACACTTGCCTGATAGCTTCTGTTTTTTTTCGTGATCTAGTGGAATTCTGAGGAAGAGGGTATGTAGGGTGCTTGGGGAAAGTGGTGAAACCTGTAGGGGATGGAAGCGAGTTGCTTAGGAACCCATTTAACGATTTGCAGGTGGTCAGGTTTGGGGGCTGTCAGTATATAGAGGTGCTGGCCTGCATGGGTATATTATTTTCTCCACCAGGGCTCAGGGCCTGGGTGCAGCAGCTAATAATTCACATGTCTTGTTAATCTAGGGATGGACTTTTGGTATAGAGCAGGGAAAGGGGTATGTCTCAGTACTAGAGGTCAGACAGTTGAGCTTATTGGCAGGAGAATGGTTTGTGTGATGGATCGTGAGTGTGGGGTAAGTGTAATAATGATGAGTAAGTGAGAGGGGAGGATACTGCTCAAAAGTGAGCTATGAAGTTTAAGATTTTGGAAGAGGAGCAGTTGCAGACAATGGGAAGGTATGATATGTTGAATGGACAGTGACGTTGCCCAGATAGGCCTTGCTAGGGGATGATGAGGAAGACTGAGACCTGGGTGCTAGAGACTGATGGCTGCCATGAGGTTGGGAGATGACAGTATTGAGAGGGGAGTAGGTGGATGGTTTGAGTAGATGGCATGGGTATTAAAAGAGTAGAAGACACCTTGGATATTACCCTTAGTGACATATTTATGGATATATTTTTCCTCAGGGAAGGGAAACGAATGCAAAAATAAACAATTGGGACTGCACCCAAAGAAAAAGTTTTTGCATAGCAGAGGAAACCGCCAACAACACAAAAGGGCAACCTACTGATTGGAAGAAGATACTTGCAAATGATATGTCCAGTAAGGGGTTAATATCCAAAAAATATAAAGAACTTTTCCAACTCAACACCACACAAGCAATCCAATTAAAAATGGGTGGAGGATATGAGTAGATGGTTTTCCAGAGAAGACATAGAGATGGCCAACAGGCCCATGCAAAGATGTTCAGCATCACTAATCATCAGGGAAGTGCAAATAAAAATGGCGATGAGATATCACCCTCACAGTAGTCAGAATGGCCAGTATGAAAAAGACAAGAAATTATAAGTGTTGGTGAGGATGTAGAGAAAAGAGAACCCTCGTGCACTGTTGGTGGGAATGTAAATTGGTGCAACCACTGCAGAAAATAGCATGGAAGTTCTTCAAAAAATTAAAAATGGAAATACCATATGATCTAGTAATCCATGTCTGGCTGTTTACCCCCAAAATGAAAACACTAATCCTAAAAGATATATGCACCCGTATGCTTATTGCAGCATCATTTACAATAGCCAAGCTGTGGAAGCAACCCAAGTGCCCATCAATAGCTGAATGGATAAAGAAGAGATGATGTAAATAGACAATGGAATATTGCCCAGCCATAAAAAGGATGAGACCTTGTCATGTGCCACAACATAGATGGACCTAGAGGGTATTATGAAGTAAGTCAGAAAGAGAAAGACAAATACCATATAATTTCATTTATTTGTGGAATCTAAAAACAAAGCAAAACAAATAAAAAACAGACTCTTAAACACAGAGAATAAACTGGTGGTTGCCTGAATGAAGTGGGTGGGTTGGATGGGCAAAATAAAGGAGATTAGGAAGGACAAACTTATAGTTACAGAATAAGTAAGTCATGGAGATGCAGTATATATAGACAGATAAATTTTTTTAAAGAATTAATTAAAATTAAGATTAATTAAAAGAATTTTTATATGGAGGTGAAAGAGTTAGTTGAAAATGGCAATCAGGAATGGGGAGAGTGAGGAACTGTCCCTGCTGCTGGTCCTGTTTGCTTAGAAACAAAGTATGTGTCACAGCTTCCACCCAAGAGGGTAGGCAATGGGAGGTCATGGTCATGGACATGACACAGAGGACTGGTGCTGGTAAGACTGTGCAGGCAGGTGGCTGGAAGGGCTTGCAAGGTGGACAGTGACAAGGAGGAAAGAGGGGAGGGTGGTAGCATTAGCCAGTCTCAGGTTCCCAGGTGTTTCAGTGGCAGGACAGGCTGGATCCCGGGTGGCAACTGAGGCTTAATGAGACATTTTGATGACCCTGGACAAGCCAGTTGGAGAAAGCAGGGAAGAAAAAAAACAAATCAATCAACGGTCCCATGGAAGGAAGCAAGGGGATTGGACAGCTGGAAACAGACTGAGAAACAGAGGCTTCAACCCTCAGGAAATACAGTTCCTGGTTATTAAATGTGAGTTGCATTACATTGCCTAAAGACTGATTTTCACCTATTAATTTCCCAAGATATAAAATTTAGGTACGACCTATCTGAATTACTTTGCATGTCAGGTTTTATACTTGGTAGAATTTCCCGCTGTGCATCTCAAAGTACATTGAACTATAGCTATCCAGGGTTCCAGGGTTTACCTTATCTTAAGCGAAAACCTTGATTTTACCAGGAATCTTTCCTTATGCTGCTGCTTGGTGGAACGTTTGAGACACATTGTCAGCAGGAGCTGGCAAGCCCAGGGGTCACCCCGATCGTGGTTTATCTGCTCACCTCCTCTCTGTGGGTCCTGTGTTCTGGTCTGCTTTAAGCTGCCAGCAGGGACGAGTGCCTAAGGCCAGAAATCCGAGTCCCTGTTCATTCTTTCTAGAACTGCCAGAGCATCAGAGCCAGCTGCTCCCAGCCGTAAAACCACGAGGAGCCCTGCTAGAGAATACCCATCTGTTCTTTCTTTCCTCGTAGCTCTCCAGCCATCCAGCGCGTCTCCTCTTCAGCCTCAGGGCCCCGGGAAGTCCAACAACGTCGTGACGGTCACGGGCATTTCCCTGTGCTTGTTCATCATCCTCGCCACGGTGCTCATCACGCTGTGGCGGAAGTTCGGCCGCGCCCCCAAATGCAGCACCCCGGCTCGCCACAGCTCCATCCACTCCCCCAGCTTCCGGAAGAACTCCGACGAGGAGAACATCTGCGAGCTGAGCGAGCAGCGCGGGAGCTTCTCGGACGGGGGCGACGGGCTGGTGGGGGGCCCCAGGGACGCAGGCATCCCCCTGACCTACAGGCGCGGTGGGCCGCTGTCCGCGGAGGACGACGCCTCGGGCAGTGAGAGCGTGCAGTCCAACGCACAGAAGATCATCCCTCCGCTGTTCAGCTACCGCCTCGCCCAGCAGCAGCTCAAGGAGATGAAGAAGAAGGGCCTGACGGAAACCACCAAGGTGTACCACGTGTCTCAGAGTCCCCTGACCGACACGGCCATCGACGCGGCCGCTGTCCCCCCCTTGGACCTGGAGGGCCCCGAGGAGGCTGTGGCCAACAAGTTCCGGCTCAAATCCCCATTTCTGGAGCAGCCGGTGGTGGGGGTAGCGGCCAGGCCCCCCTCCAGGCGGGACCTTCCGGTCTGTGCCGCCAGCTGTGCGGTCAGCCCCAGCCAGACCGTGATCCGCAAGTCCGCCCTGAGGCACGCGGGCGGCAGAGGGGCGCTGCCAGAGAGGAGCCACCCCAGGGGCTCCCACTTCAGGAGGACCGCGAGCTTCCATGAAGCCAGGCAGGCCCGGCCGTTCCGGGAGCGGAGCATGTCCACCCTGACCCCACGGCAGGCCCCGGCCTACAGTTCCAGGACGCAGACCTGGGACCAGGCGGAAGAGCGATCTCGGCCTCAGAGTCGAGGTGCTGCCCCGTCCCCTGAGAAACCGGACCATTTCCACGGGGCAGGTACAACCAGAGGCCCATTAAGCCCTCCCCCTAAATCCTACAGCCTGGGGCAGCCCGCGAGGAAACCAGACCTGGGGGATTACCAGGCAGGATTCATGGCGGGCGGTGAGAGAACGGAGCTGCACAGAGCCCGGAGGGGCCCGTCCCCCAGTCACAGGAGTGTCTCGAGGAAGCAGCCTTCTCCCACGGCCCCCAAAGAGAGCTACCAGAGGGTGAGCCCTCTGAGCCCTTCTCAGTGTAGGAAAGACAAGTGTCAGAGCTTCCCAGCCCAGCCTGAGTTCGCCTTCTATGACAATACGTCATTCGGCCTCACCGAGGCAGAGCAGAGGATGCTGGACCTCCCAGGCTATTTTGGGTCGAATGAAGAGGATGAAACCACAAGTACACTCAGCGTGGAGAAGCTGGTCATCTAGACCCAGATCAGCCTGGGACTTCACACAACTGGGGTCCTTTGCCTGGCTCCTGGTATCAGTGGCTCACAGTGTTCTATGGACTGTATGATGTAGCTTATTTGTACATTAGGATGGGGGGGTAACTCAAGTGTTCATATGTGTTTTAATTCATAAGGAAGAAGTTACTTAGCCTGAACTTTTCCCTTTGTTATCCTAGTTCCCTTGGTTTATTACTAATAAGTACAATAATAAAATTTAAACAAGAGTGAAATAGGGCTCAGTCTCTCATGTGGATACGAAAGAGGGCAAATGTGAATTTAAGCATGAAGTGCTTTGAACACTTTCTGGGCAGTGTCCAACATGAAGTAAATTTGGGAGTCTCCACAACGGTAAGGGCTGGAACAAAGTTAACTTGCCAACAGAGCTCTGGATTATAATTTATTAAGTTATAAATACTTAAGAATTTGACTCCTACAGGGTCAGTACCGAATGGCTTTCATGTTTAGCTGAAAGGCTGATGATATTCCAGGAGAACTTTCATGCCGGAGTTGGGTGATATCTTCTAATTTTTTTATGCAACAAAGAGTTCTAGTGCCTTGACACAAAATTATGTGAGTTAATTCAGTTTTGGAGAAATAATAAGAAGCTGATTGTTCAGGTAGTGAGTTAACTGAAGACCTAGCCATATACTCATCATTGTTTGGTGCAAAAAGTGTACATTTTAGAAAGGAAAGTATTATCTCCTGAGAGAATCAAATAGAACATGGGCAGTGGATGCTGGCAAAGACACTTCCTGGCACTAGGATGGTGACTATGCGTTCCTGGATCAGACTGGCAGCCAAGACCCTAGAGGGTGTCATCTTGAAACCAGTGTGTTTATGTTTCTAAAGATGACTTTATCATGTTACTCAGACAGTATGGAAAGCAGGTAGACCAGATTGTGATTTTATCGCTAAGTTTTTTAATTGAAAGTATGAAGTAAAGAAGGAACAGAGAAAATAATTCTTTTAGAAACAAATCTTTTGCTTTCCCGTGTGCCTACCACATTTTCCAGGTGAAGAATTTAACACTCAGGGAGGGGAATTAACTCCTGCAGGGATATCTGGATGAACATGGACTCACATTTTTATTCTAATAACCTTTTCCTTTGTACAATGCCATCGCAGCCTTTACAAGTCTTCTCTAACAGCAGGGACTTCAGGAGAAAGCTGGCCCTTTTAGCAAGAAGTCACAGAAAGATGCCTTTACTGGATTTTCCTGAAGGAAGGAAGCTTTCTGCTGCTGGATGTTAGGACTGGTCTTGCAACTTGCTTTATTTGGAAGTGAGGGCTAAACAAGGACCTAAAGGCTGGGCTCTTTCCTTGCAGTCTGGCATCAGGTACCCTGTGAGCACTCTTCAATCTGGTGTACTTCCTTTCAGCTCTTGAACCTAATGCCTTATCTGCCTAAGCTTGGGTAGCTGCCCTTTCCTTCTTTGTTCACCATGACCTCTCTAGCTGCCACACCCACCTTGCCTTTTACATTGTTTTTCTTCTTCCTTTTAGAATTTATCAGGATGTCAGCCTGCTAGTGAGGTTTCAGGGACTGTTGGAGAGAGTGGAATTAGGTGGGACAAAAAAGAATCATAAATGCAAATACTGTACCTTTTAAAGTTTCTCTTACATTGTTGTATTACCACTTCATTTGTGCCATTGTTCAAAATTAAAACATACTTCCTTTGGGAAATGCCTTAATAATAACTATCTACCTTTCAGGAACAGGAGGAGTAGATTATTCAGTGGTATCTGACAGCTGTTATGTGCTGATGCAAAGAAGAGGAAACCAGACTTCTTAATCTACACTTTCTTGGTTTACCATGTTAGAAAGCTTTGTTCTCTTTCCAAGTTCACAGACTTGCATGCCAACTTTTGAGGACAGAGGATACATGCTCACTTGTTCCACACTTCACAGTGAATTTCCCTACAGTGTCAGACTAAGACCAAAACAGCTTCAAGGAAGGTGAAAATTAGAGAAAAATGCTATGAATGGAAAGATTTTCTATTAAATCATGTTCTTCCCCAGTATATCATGCATCTAAATTAGTATAACAGTGAATTAATATCAGTGTACAACCTGTTCACCATCTACCTAGCAGTTTTCTGTGGCTCTAATCAAGAGGCAATCTCTACAATTCAGTTAATCTAATTTGTCTCTGAGAAAGAGAAAAGTAGATGCTCCAGCATTCTCCTTGGTGGGTAAGTGATAAGCTTCATTAGAAATAATATCCTATAGAGAAAAGTGTTCCAAATGAAAGAACAAGATAAAACCTCAGGAAAGACCTTAATGAAATGGATATAAGTAATCACCTGATAAAGATTTCAGAGTAAGAGTCATAAAGATGCTATCTGAAAATGGGACAAACGTGGATGAACACGGTGTTCATGAAAATACCAAACAGACTTCAGGGAAGGTGGTAGAGTAGAGGATCCTGAGTTCACCTCATCCCACAGAAACACCTAGATAACAGTCACATCAGTGCAGCTAACCTATAAAATAACCCCAAAGACTGGTGGAATAGACTTTCCATGGTTAATGGTAGAGGGGAGATCACACTGAAAAGAGTGGGAGAGGCGGAGATGTGGTTGGGAACAAAACTCCCAGCAAGACCACAAATGGGAGGGACGCAACAAGCAGCAAGAAGGGAGAGGAGCAGATCCCACAACAGGCAACCCAGACATGGCGGACCTGCACTGGGAAGATGAAGCCCCATAATATTTGGCTTTGAAAACCAGTGGGGCTTAATTACATTACCTTTTATACCAGCAGGGCTTAACGCCCGGTTCTTTAAAAATCAGTAGGCCAAAAAAAAAAAAAAAAAAAAAAAGGTTTAAAAATCAGTAGGCTTAGCTCTTTGAGAGCTAGAGGGTCATAAGAAACTGAGTCCCTGTCCTTTAAACACCAGAATAACAATCTCACTGAGATAAGCATAGAAGCAGGAGTTTGAAAGTATCTAGTGTATATCTGAGGATTTTTTTTACTCATCTCAGAATGTGTGCTGGGAAGCAGGGATCTTTAGGCAACTTCTCCCAGAACAAATGTCTAGTAGACAAACATTTCTTTCCCCTGCACCCCAGCATAGATACCTGGATACCTGCAGACACCAGTGTGAGCATTCCGTCTACCCTGCGAACACCACATTTCCCACGCCCACATTCTCCTGATGATCTCCTGAAGCCAACCTGCTACACTCAGCCAAAGTCCCACCAAAGTCCCTCTGCCTCATCTTATCCTGCAAACAGCTATGGGAGGAATTGGTGGCACTCCAAAGTGCCACTCCTGCCCTGGGGAGTGCACTCACAGTCCCAGCAGTCAGACCTTATTCCTGGCAGTGCAGAGTGTCCTGCTGATCTGTGTGTCTGCAGCCCCAGCAGATGGACAGGAGGCAGGCATCTGATCTGACTGCTGGCCCTACCCACCAACAAAAACCTCCCAGGAGGGGCAGTACACAGAAGAAGTCCTGCAGTTTGGGCCTCTGCAGCCCTGGCAGAGTGGGGACAGGCATCTGGTCTGACTATCGGCTCCATCCACCAATAAAATCCTCTCAGGGGATTAGGCAGGGAGAACATCCTACAGGTTGGTGCTACTGCAGCCCCAACAGACAGACTGGGGGCAGGCATCTGGCTTGAGAGCAGGCCCCATCCACCAAGGAAAGCCATTCAAAGATGAGGAGGGGAGAGTGCTCTGTGGCTTGGTGTGACAGCAGTGACAGCAAATGTGCTGAGGGCAGTCATCCTGTCTGACTACTGACACTGCCCAACTACAAACCCACAGCAACCCCAAACTGGCTCCTTAACAGTATAGGGTCCAAACCAACAGGCAAAATGGGTCACTGCAGATGACTAGACTGAAGGCAAACCAGGCTCAGCCACAACAATTAGGTGCACACAACCCATACAGGAAACACCAGGATTGCCTGGCTCTGGTGAGCAGGGGACATTGCACTACAGGGCACCACAGGACCTACTACTTTCCAATAAAGATACTACTTTCCAAATAAGGAGACATAACTGACTTTTCTAATACATAGACACAAACACAGAAAGTTAGAAAAATGAGACAGAAGAAAATGTCCCAAGTGAAAGAATAGGACAAAACCACAACAAAAGAGCTAAATGAAAGATAAGCAATATGCCTGATACAGAATATAAAGTAATGGTCATAAATATACTTACTGGATTTGGAAAAAAAGAGTGGAGGACCTCAGGGAGATGTTTAAAAAAAGATAGAAAATATTAAAAAGAATCAAATAGAGATGAAGAACTGAATAACTGAAATTGAAAAAATACACTAGAGGGACTCATTAGCAGATTAGAGGAAGCAGAAGAATGGATCAGCGAGTTGGAACAGAGTAACGGAAAACAATCAAACTGAATAGCAAGAGGTAAAAAGAATAAAAAAAGAGAATAGGTTAAGGGAATTCAGTGGCATCATCAAGCGTAATAGTATTTGTATTATAGGGCTCTCAGAAGGACAAGCGAGAGAAAAGGGGGCAGAAAATTTACTTGAAAAAATAATAGCCGAAAACTTCCCAAATCTGGGGAAGGAAACAGACATCCAAATCCAGGAGAAAAAAAGAATCCCCAACAAAATCAACCCAAGGAGGTTCGTACCAAGACATAGTAATTAAAATTACAAAAAGTAGTCTTAAAGACAAAATTTTAAAAGCAGCAAAAGAAAAGAAAATAGTTACATATAAGGGAAACCCCACAAGCCTATTAGCTGATTTTTCCTCAGAAACTCTTTAGGCCAGAAGGGAGTAGCATGATATATTCAAAGCACTGAAATGCTAAATCTGCAGTCAGAATATTATACCCACAAAGGCTATCATTCAGAATAGAATGAGACATCTTGAGTTTCCCAGACAAACAAAAGTAAAAGGAGTTCATCACCAGACTCACAAGCAACATTAAAGGGAATTCTTTGAGGAAAAGGGAAGGCAATTATCAAGAGTAAGAAAATTATGAAAGGAAAAAATTTCACAGGCAAGCATAATAAACATGATAAAGTAAATAAAAAGTAGATTAACACAAGTCAGTACAAAGGTTAAAGCACAAAAGCAGTAAAATCAATTATAGCTATAAAAATCAGTCAAGGAACTCACAAAATAAAAGGATATAGAGTATGATATCATGTACATAAAATGTTGGTGAGGATTGAGAAAATAATTAGTTTTTCTAGAAAGAGTTCAAACTTCAGTGACCATCAACTTAATATAGACCATCAACTTAATAT